AGCTCTGTGGTCTCTTAACGCGAGACTGGTCAGCAAAGTTGTGTGTTCTGCTCTGATCATATTTAGCTGACCATGCAAACACCAAGCATATAGAGTGTTGGGTTTAACCAGGGCTGTACTTTTTCAAATGAGTGAGACAAACGCAAAAGAGGGACAAGGGACTTGAGAATATTGCAAAGAAATGATTGTGGTGATTGCCAGTGGAGTTTAAACTGAATAAGGAGAGAAAAGTGGAGATTGGGGGATAAAAGACAGTAAAACTTTGGCAAATCAGTGGATTGTAGGTCTCAATAGGATTAGAGTGTAGGAATGAGGTGGTCTTGTCTCTTTCCCTGAGCTTTTATTGCTTGATTTTTCTTAGACCTTATGTCACATACATTAAAGCTTTGTGCTTTTCTGAGAATCCACACATAGACAGAAGTGGGAAATAATCTGGAGGGCTGGACTGAAGAATTAACTATATTTTAAATTTTGTAGGCCAGGAGCAGTGGCTCACACCTATAATCCCAGCACTGTAGGAGGCCAAGGCAAGAGGAGCACCTGAAGGCCCGAGTTTGAGGCTGCAATAAGCCTCAAAAAATACACACACACATACATACATACATACATACATACATACATCTGCATCCAAGTAGTTCAAATATTAGTGAGTCATCTACTCATCCTAAGGGACTGCAATGTGTTAGAAACTCAGTGGCCTCTGCTGCCGTTTGTCATAGCCACTCACAGGATTCTCTGTTCCCAATCTTATTAGAGAGAAAACTTTAAAATAATTCTGATGTGGTTCTCTCCTTCCTTCCTTCCTTCCTTCCTTCCTTCCTTCCTTCCTTCCTTCCTTCCTTCCTTCCTTCCTCTCTCTTTTCTTTTTTTGTTTCGTCTCTTTCTTTCTTTCTCTTTCTCTCCCTTTCTCCCTCTCTCCCTCTCTCCCTCCCTCTCTCTCTCTCCCCCTTCCTTCCTTCCTTCCTTCCCTCCCTCCCTCCCTTCTTCCTTCCTTCCTTCCTCCCTCCCTCCCTCCCTCCCTCCCTCCCTCCCTTCTTCCTTCCTTCCTTCCTTCCTTCCTTCCTTCCTTCCTTCCTTCCTCCCTCCCTCCCTCCCTCCCTCCCTCCCTTCCTTCCTTCCTTCCTTCTTTCTTTCTCTCTCTCTTTCTCTCTCTCTTTCTTTTTTCATTCTTTCTTCTTTCTTTCTTTCTTTCTATCTTTCTTTCTTTACTTTCTTTCTTTCTTTCTTTCTTTTCTTTCCTCTGTTGCTCAAGCTAGAGGGCAGTGGACTCATTGCAGCCTCAACCTCCTGGGCTCAAGCAATCCTCCCACCTCAGCTCCCAAAGTAGCTGGGACTATGGGCACCTGCCACCAGGTTCCACTAATTTTTGTATTTTTTTTTTTGTAGATATGGGGTTTTGCCACATTGTCCAGGCTGGTCTTGAACTCTTGGGCTCCAGCGATCTGCCTGCCTTGGCCTCTTAAAGTTCTGGGATTACAGCTGTGAGCCACTGCACGTGTGGAGTTTATGTGCTCATTTGCTAAATCAAAAACACCTCGTTTGGTGTTTTTTATATTACAATTTGCTTCAAACTTTAACCTGGGAAGCATGGGAAGTACTGAGGTGCCATTGCATACTCCTAAGAGTATCCTTTCCTTTGCTATTCTTCCTCTTTCTTTGTCAGGTTCGTCTTCCTCAAGAAAGTGGTGTGGGGAGAAGTGGAAAGTAGGAGTGTGTAGCATAACAGACACATTGCTCTTTGCACTATGTGTCATTTTAACGGCAACCTAATTGTGTAGGTTTTGTTTGCTTTTCAGAAGTTCAGTTTTTAGATGAACTCATTCAGAACAAATATTGACCATACATTAGCCCATAGTGGCCCTGTGTCCACCTTTTTTTCAGTTACAAAAAGGGGAGGCATTGCTGTCAAGAAGCAAGGTAGTGAAGGACCAGAAAAAAAGGCAGGAGGAACAATGGAAAACAATAGGGGGAGGAACATCTCCCGTTGGCTAGCTAGATACTAACATTCACCATTCAGTTTATCCAAGTTCCATTTTACTCTTCAGCTTCCTTCAGCCCCTTGGCCTGACTTTGCTGACAGAATAATTTTATGTCACCTTCCAACTGTCTGACCTCAAGGCTTCCCATCTCAATTCTCTATTCATGGGCCTTGCTCTCTCCAATCCATCACTGGCAGTGTAGGTTGATTTTGTCTTACTAAAAAACATAAACATTCTGGCCAGGCACAGTGGCTCACACCTGTAATCCAGGACTTTGGGAAGCCAAGGCACGTAGATCACTTGAGGTCAGGAGTTGGAGACCAGCCTAGCCAACATGGTGAAACCACGTCTCTACTAAAAATACAAAAATCAGTTGTGTGTGGTGGCACGCTCCTGTAATCCCAGCTACTCAGGAGACTGAGGCAGGAGAATAGCTTGAACCTGGGAGTTGGCGGTTGCAGTGAGCTGAGATCATGCTACTGCACTCCAGCCTGAGTGACAGAATGGGCCTCTGTCTCAAAACACACACACACAAACACAAAGCACATTCTAACAGACACAGAACACTTAACTTCATATTTTTATATAACTATGTCTCAGTTTTTACAACAAATGTACTTTTTTTAGTTGAAAATTTTATTTATTTTTAAATATATATATTTAAAAAAAAAATATATATATATATTTGAGACAGAGTTTCGCTCTTGTTACCCAGGCTGGAGTGCAATGGCTCGATCTCGGCTCACTGCAACCTCCGCCTCCTGGGTTCAAGCAATTCTCCTGCCTCAGCCTCCCGAGTAGCTGGGACTACAGGCGTGCACCACTATGCCCAGCTAATTTTTGTATTTTTAGTAGAGACGGGGTTTCACCATGTTGACCAGGATGGTCTCGATCTCTTGACCTCATGATCCACCCACTTTGGCCTGCCAAAGTGCTGGGATTATAGGCATGAGCCACCGCGCCTGGCCTATTTTTAAATATTTTTATGTGAGAAAAAGCAAAAGTTCTTGTCCAACCATCCTCGTGTGGCATCTGTCTGTCAGACAGTTCTCACTTGCAAGTCGATCCACCCCTATTGCCAGTTTCTCTCCATACAGGCAACCAGTTAACAGCTTTTTGCATAGCCTTCTTGTATATTCTGGACTGTGAATATTCAAGTACGGTGTATGGATTCTATCCACTGACCTTACATTTTTTACCCAGTTGATAGCATACCATACAAACTGTCTGCATCTTGCTTTTTATATGTATGTATGTATGTATGTATGTATGTATGTATGTATGTATGTATTAGGAGACAGAGTCTCACTCTGTCGCCCAGGCTGGAGTGCAATGGTGTGATCTCGGCTCCTCCTCCAGGATTCAAGAGATTCTCATGCCTCAGCCTCCTGAGTAGCTGGGACTGCAGGCACGCACCACCATGCCAGGCTAACTTTTGTAGTTTTAGTAGAGATGGGGTTTCACCATGTTGCCCAGGTTGGTCTTGAACTCCTGAGATCAGACAATCCACCCGCCTCAGTCTCCCAAAGTGCTAGGATTACAGGCGTGAGCCACCATGCCCGTCCAGCTTTTTGTATATATTTTAAGTTTTTCCTCCTCAAATTTTTTTTAATGAATTCCCCTACTTCTTTTGAGTCAATTCTGACCATTTTTCTGGGAAGTTATTTCCTTAATATTTCCTGGTTATTTTCATAGAGTTGTATGTTATATTGTCCTGAAACATAGATTAGCCAACAAAGCTCTCCATACCTATTGATTTAAATATTGATTCCACTTCTACCACTTACAAAGGTTCTAAGTAACTTTGGGCAAGTCATGCAAGTCCTGCTGTATTGTAAATATCCATGGTCTTGGCAGAGTAATGACTGTAAGTGTATTAAAGAACTCTGAGTTACTCTGGCAATTTTTTGAGATACATTTGCAACTAAAAACATAGAATAATTCCTATTTTTGGGAGCTTGTCCGTATGCTGCCCCTTCCTTCACAACCTTCCTTCCTGTCTTTCTTCAAAGCATATTGTCTCACACCCAACCAGTACCCTATTAGTTAAATGGGGAGAACAGACATTGGTAGTCTATATAATGCCCAAGTAACCTGAGCACTGCCTGACTCAATTGTTCTATGGCCAGTCCTCCTCTTAACCTAGCACCAAGGCTATCTTGAAATAAGTGGCCAAGAGGGCCAATAGATGAGGTTAGAAGGGGTAGAAGCTAGGGGCTTGTGGTTAGGGAGGGATAGCTAATTTTGGAGTTTGGCAAGGAAATAGAAAAGGTTATCAATGGCCTCAGGGAAGTGGGATGGGACTTGGTGATCCGATAATAATGGGAGTGGGAGGATGAGGTGAGAGGCTGAAGTTGGGGTTGGGGCATTTGTACATGATATTCTCTTGCAATTAAAAGAAGATTTCATATCTACTGGCTTCAATTTTAATATCACTTCCACCAGTATTTGTGCAAGTACTAAAATTGTGCTTGGTCTGAAGGGGAATTATCGTAAACAAAACAACAAACACCAAAACCAAAACCAAAACAAAAAAACCCTCCATTCGTTTGGAATTTTGGCCCTCTACATTCCACATTCTTCCTCCTTAAGTTTACTACTTGGATTGCCTATCCAAAAATATAACATTTTTATTTCACACCCATCCCCTGCGTTGCTGGTTAAATGCTTAATGCCACCAAAGGGCACCCAGGTATCCTGGATACTGATGCTGTCAACTATGGCTGCGTTGTCTGACTACATTTTAGCCTGGGGCCAAGGTAAACTGGGACCAGAAATACCGGCAAAGCCCTAGGACGAGGTAAGGAAAAGAGGTTGGGACATGCAAATTATCTTTTGTTTGTTTTCACTTATTCTCACTATATAGTTACTCTTTCAGAACTCTGAACATTTTCAGTACAACTTTTGAAGTGGGATTAACAAATTTGGCCATTCATTGGCTTCTTCCTCGCCCGCCACCAAAGTGGGTGCCAGAGAAAAGTAATCCTGGAGGGTCGGTGTGGAGGCAGTAGAGAGGTTTATAAAAGTCAAGAAAGTAGGAAGAGGCTTAGGAACGGGAGGAGCGGCGCAGAGTCAGCGGGGCAGGGGCGGCGGCGGAGGGAGCAGTAGATTTGGGGTTGAGCTCTTCATTCCGGGGCACGGAAATTTAAAGTCGCTCGGCGGCCAGGGAGTGAAGGAGGAGGCACATTCTTTCCTAGAGGTGCGGTGCTCCAGGGTTTGGCATGCCAAGCCAACTCCTGAGAGCCGGAAATGGGCGGGCCGTCGGTGGCGTGGAGAGGGCAGCAGTGGTCGTGACAGCTACCGGCCGGTCTAAGGATCGGGCTTGAGTTTTAAACCGGGAGGGTGTCTAGCGGGACCCGTGGTCCCAAAGAAGAGAGACAATGTGAAGCGCAGCTGTCCCCGACACCCCGAGAACCGAGGGACAGCGTAGGGCCAGGGCCGCCAGTAATTGCCGGGCGCCATTCGGTGACGCGGCCGCCATGCGATGACGCGCTGACCCGCCGTGGCCTCCACGTCGCAGGTTCCGCAAAGACCTGTGGGAGCGACCCGGGAGGAGGGCCAAGATGGCGGAAGCGGAGGAGTCTCCAGGAGACCCGGGGACAGCATCGCCCAGGCCCCTGGTGAGCTTGGGATCTGCAACAAAAGGGACTGAGGGTGAGGCAGAGTGCCCCCTAAGGAAGTCGGGGGACCGGCTCGTGGCCTGAGAGCCGGAGCCTCTTCCGCCCGGCAGGCGCTTCCTGTACCCGTCGCCAGAACCAGTCCCAACACTGCACCTGTTCTTTGCGCTAACCGCTTTGCCCCTTGCCCTCTTGGTTCCTTCCACATCTTTTTGTGTAACTCCCATCTTTCCTTTTCCATCCTCCCAGGGCTCGTGCTCCTCCCCAGCATTGTGTTAAATGGCAAGCTTTAGGTGATAATTCTTATCTTTTCTTCTGCTGTCCCCTCATTTTATCAAAAACCTGTCACCAGCCTTTGTTGAAGGAATAATGAGAGATTGCTTCCCATGGGACATTAACGTTTTATTGCTTATAAGTTTAGTATTGACTTGTTCAGTGACCACAGTAGGCCAGGTTTAACCCCTGCCCTTCCTGTCTCAGCTCCTTGCCATCTCCTTCACCATACTTGTTCTCTCTCTCTCTCTCTCTTTTTTTTTTTTTTAAATTGAGACAGGGTCTCACTCTGTCACCCAGGCTGGAGGGCAGTGGTGCGGTCTCTGCTCACTGCAACCTCTACCTCCCAGGCTCACGTGATCCTCCCACCTCAGCTTCCCTAGTAGCTAGGACCACAGGTGTGTGCCACCATACCTGGCTAATTTTTTGTGGAGATGGGGTTTTGCCATGTTGTCCAGGCTGGTCTTGAACTCCTGGCTCAAACTATCCTCCTGCTTCGGCCTTCCCAAGTACTAGGATTACAGGTGTGAGCTACTGTGCCCAGCCATCTTCACCGTACTCTCTTGCTTCTGTCTCTGCAAGGGACAGAATTTCCATTGCAAGTCCAAAATGTGGACAAGTGTTTCAAGAACACAGGCTTTGGAGTTAAACTTAACCTGGGATGGAATCCACCCACTTTGTGAATTTGGGCGTCATTTCATGGAGGGTGTTTCTTCATCTGTAAAATGGGGATAAAAATACCTGCCTCAAAAGAGTTTTTAGATCAACTGGCATAATTTACGTAAAGTGCCTAATACTATCAGTACCATGAACTGAGGAGTATAATGATGTCAACATTGTGCTCCTGTCCCTCTTCCCATTGTTTTGCATTATATAGTAGTTGCTCAGTAAATGGTTCTTCCCTTTCCTCTTCTTTTTTTTTTTTTTTTTTTTTTTTGAGACAGAGTTTTGCTCTTGTCAACCAGACTGGAGTGCAATGGCACAATCTCAGCTCACTGCAACTTCTGCCTCTGGGGTTTAAGTGATTCTCCTGCCTCAGCCTCCTGAATAGCTGAGATTAGAGGCACCTGCCGCCACGTCTGGCTAATTTTTATATTTTTAGTAGAGATGGGGTTTCACCATGTTGGCCAGGCTATTCTCGAACTCCTGACCTCAGGTGATCTGCCCACCTCAGCCTCCCAAAGTGTTGGGATTACAGGCTTGAGCCACCGCACCTGGACTCCTTTCTTCTGCTTTGAATTAGCAACTTAACATAGTGAACTGAACTGGGAGATGAGGGAACTTGATTCTAGTCCTAGCTCTGCTGCTTACTAGCTCCATTTCTTCACCTCTTCATTCACTCAACAAATATTTATTGAGCATCCATTACTATGTTCCAGGCACTCCTTTAGGCACTCGGGATATGGCAATAAGAGTGAGTTGTGTTAAGTTCTAACCGCTCTCACGGAGCAGTTATAACCTTGAGTAAAATCAGGCTGAACCCCAGTTTCCTCATTTGGAAAATGGTGATAGGAACATATGACTGAATTAGTGAGAGCACTAAATGAGATAATATACACGTAGTGCCTACTATGACATTGTCATAGGTGCTTGGCAGTTTTTAGTTTCTATCTTTCATCTAAATGCCCCACCCCTCTTCTGTGAAGCTTTCTCCAGTTAACTTCAGTGGTTCTGAACACTCATTACTCAGTATGCAATCCACTTCTATTCAACAAATGTTTGGTGAACTCCCACAACAAGTAATACACTGTGCTAGTTGATACAGGGAATGCAGAAGGCCTGCCTCTATGGTGCTACCAGTCTAAGTTGTAGAAATAAGACAAGTATACAATGCTAAAATAAAGGTGTCTATAAGAGAAAGTTACACAGAGAATATTACAGAAATTTAAAGGAAAATGCTATCATGTCCAGTTGGGGTAACCAAGCTACGTGGTGGAACTTACATTTGAAGGGACTTAAAAGGATGGGTAGGATTTGAAATTGCAGGTGAGCATAGGAGCTATCAATAATTGAATACCTGCTATGTGCCAGGTGTTGTGCTAGACATCCTCTGTATATTTTCTAAACTTTACAGCAACTATTTCAGTTAGGTGGCTTTTAACTACACTTTATGTGCAGATGAGGATATGAGATGCAGAGAGGTTTGGTGATTTCCCTAGGGTCTACATCCAGTTAGTCCCCAGGCCTGCAATTTGAACCTAGATCTGACTCTGAAGCCCAGACTATATCTGTTTGTGCTACATAGCCTCTCTTGAACAAAGGCACAGAAGTTGGAAGGTGCTAATATATTTATAGAATAACAGGTAGATCACTTTGGCTGAAGCACAAGGAATTATTAGGAGATAAGCCTTCAGGGGTAAGCCTACTGAGTTAGGGAGGCAGTATGGAACAGTGGTGGTTAGGAAGGTGTACTCTGGAGTCAGCTTGTTTAGGTTTGATTCTAAGCACTGTCACTTAACTAGTGGGATATTGGGGAAATTACCAAACCCTTCCTTGCCTCAGTTTCCCCATCTGTAAAATAGAGATATAGCAACACTTAGTTCATAGGGTTGTTAGGCAGATTAACACATTGAATAACTTAACACACTTAGTAGACTATGTGGCACATAATAATGCAATAAGCGTTATTTCTTATTATTGGCTACTAACCTGGGAGGCTTACTGGGCTACAAGGGGCTGGCGGAAATTTTTGAGGAGGGAAGAATTTGAAATTATGAATTGGACAACATAATAGAGGGTGAGTTACAGTGGGAGATATCTGGAATCTAGAAGACCCCTGAAGCTGTTGCAGTACTTCCAGGAAGAAATGCTAGGGATCTGGACTACAGCAGTAGCAGGAGACAAGAGGATTTGAGACAAGGCAGAATCCATGAGGGTTTGTAGTGTGTGAGGAAGGATTTGTCTTAGATCAGTGTTTTCCAAACTTTAGTGTGCTAGCAGTCATCTGGGGAATCTTGTTAATTTGCAGGATCTGATTCAGTTGGCCCGAGATCTGCATTTTTAACAGACTCCCTGGTGATGCTGCTGCTGCTGCTCCCAATACCACATTTTGAAGAGCATGGCTATAGACATCCAAGAGTATAGTGACACCCTGAACAAAAATAGATAGTATACAAGGACGGTTAGCTGGATGAGGACCTTAAAAGTTGATTAATTCAGTTTTGGACATGTTTAGTTTGAGATACTGGAGACCATTCAATAGATACACAACAGACAGTTGGATTTGCAACCTATACTTCAGGGCTCAGAAGAGGTCAGGCCTAGAGATGTTGATTTAGGAGTCATCTGCACAGGATTAAAAAGAACCTTGGGTAATGCCTGTATTTAGGGGGCAGGAAGACTAGGTAGGCTATAACAGTGGCTACAGTCTGGGATCTTTTTTTTTTCTTTTTTTTTTTTTATTGCATTTTAGGTTTTGGGGTACATGTGCAGAGCATGCAATACAGTTGCATAGGTACACACAGGGCAGTGTGTTTTGTTTGCTTTCTCCCCTTCACCCACATTTGGTATTTCTCCCCTGGCAATCCCTCCCCACCTCCCCCTCCCACTGGCCCTCCCCTTTTCCCCCTATAGACCCCAGTGTTTAGTACTCCCCTCTCTGTGTCCATGTGTTCTCATTTTTCATCACCCGCCTATGAGTGAGAATATGCGGTGTTTCATTTTCTGTTCTTGTGTCAGTTTGCTGAGAATGATGTTCTCTTAGATGGAGTTTCACTCTTGTCGCCCAGGCTGTAGTGCAATGGTGCCATCTTGGCTCACTACAACCTGTACCTCCTGGATTCAAGCAATTCTCCTGCCTCAGCCTCCCTGAATAGCCGGGATCACAGGCGTACACCACCATGCCCAACAAATTTTCATATTTTTAGTAGAGACAGGGTTTCACTATTTTGGCCAGGCTGGTCTCAAACTATAGTCAGGGATCCTTGCAAGAGCTTAGGCTATGAGGAGGCTGCCCCCAGGTGAAGGCGCTGGCTGGAGACCATGCTACTAGCTACCCCTTCATCCATTCCTGGGAGCCAGGCCTCTTGGACTGAGCTGATTCCTGCTTCATGTTTCCCTTTGTTGATTCCTTTTACCAGGATTTTGGTCAATAGTATAACACATTTGCTCCCAGCTATTTTTTTTAGGGTTACAGTCCCTGCTTTTATTGTGTTTTTGGCCCTGCCTCTACCTGTTCCCCTTACTGGCCCAAGCCAGGCAGAGCAGTGTGCATGTGTGTTTCTGTGAGCACATGTATATATTTGCTGGAGTCTGCCCACTGATGGGAAAGGGGAGGGGCATGGAGCTAATTCGCCTTTCCTGCTGAGGGCTTGGCAGAGAGCAGAGTCTATTAGCTGAGGGCCTGGAAGTCCTGTCTTTTATATTGGGCTGAAGGGCCATAGTTCCTGACTCAGGTCATGGAACAATGTTGCTAGTTTTTGAAGTGATAAGAGGGAGAGAGTAGGGGATCACATGGCACTTCAGTGACTACAGCGACTTCTGATACCAACTACCTGGAGTTAGGCCAAACTGTACAGGTTAAAAGCACAGTCTTCTACAAGACTGCTCTTTAGATACCACCCACAATTTTGGGGGTTCCTAGGACCATCCTTACTTCAGAGCAAGTAGTTGTAATTCAAGGGTTACCATAATCCCCTCAGGTTTGTTGTTGTTGTTTTTTTTTGAAATAGATTATCACTCTGTTGCCTAGGCTGGAGTGCAGTGGCACAACCTCAGCTCACTGCAGCCTT